GTGCACCCAGAGATAAGGTTCACCCTCAGTGCCCCGCTGCTGCTTCTGATCGCATGACCCCTGCACTTCTCAGTAAGTGGGAACCGATGCTTGACTCATTGCAGAGTTTTTCCTACAACATAGGCTGTACCCTGTGCTGCACCTCCTAATAATTTCATAACATGGGGGGCGGGGGGGGGAGGAAAGCGAGAAACAATAACTTATAAATATATGGCAATCTTAAATAATGAAAAAGGGGAAACAAAATCTTATAACTCCATTATTAGAACTCCATTATTAGAACTAATAATGGTGCTATTGAGCTTGTATTAGGCATGTCATATTGACTCTGTGTATTGTGTTCTATTCTTACGTATTGGCTAATTAATTGACAGGTACAAATTCATGGCAAGGTGAGTCATATTAAAGTAACACCTATAGTTTTGTTAATGTTTGTATAAATATATTTGTTTTCCACTGCTCCAGACACTTCATAGGTTTCAGATGGGACATATATTCTGCCAAGATTTCTTAGAAAATATGAGTTTAGAAAATAGGATATAAGGTATAATAAAATATCTTGGTGAAGAAGTTTCAGGGTTAAGAAAACTGCAGATTAAGAAACAGCAACAAAAAGGAGATGATGGCATTGTATCTAACTGGAGGTATTCTGCTTTTTGTGTCTGCTGGGGGTTCTTGGGTTTCCAGGATTGTTTTGTTTTATATAAAATGTCTAAAAATTTGCCGAAATTTCTCATGGGGTTTTATGTTCACTAACTTAATTATTTACCCAAAGCAAGGTAGACGTAGTTCCATGTAGATAGAAGAAATGACAGGAATGGGAAAAAAGAAAAATAAGGAGAAAGAAAGAAAGAGAGAGAGCAAGACAGACAGACAGAAAGAAAGATTAGAATCTTTTGTAGTTATCTAAAAAGAAATTAAAAGTTTGCATTATGAAATAGTATAAAATTTTGGAAATCAAATTGCCTCATTTGTTTACATTACTTGAAGTGCTGAGTGGGGGAATGTTTAGGCAAGGTACCAAGAGACCAGGCTGGTTACATGCTCCCCACCTTGTGACTCTCTTGCCCTGACTGTCCCTTTATTAGGCTTTACTGTGCCTTGGAAGGGTTGTGTTCTAATTGGTGGCTCTTCTACACAGGGCCAGGCACGTTGAGCATCTGCCCTGTGCCCGATACGGAGCTGGCTGCTGGGGCTGCAGCCAAGAGGACCACAGTCCCTGCCTTCTATTGTGGAGTACGGGTCGAAACAAGAGGACTGTCTATAGACAGGTATGCCCAGGAATGGGGGAGTGGGGGTGCGGGATGATGGCTCACACCATGTGTGACTGGAGGGAAGATATCTAACCAGTGGGATATTTGTAGCAAACTCCTTCTTTATCCATTTTCCAATCACTCAGGGTGACAGCACCATTTCCACCCAGACTGACAGAGCATTTTATATTATATTTTAGAACTATTTTAGAATACTAATTGGAAGTCCTATTGTAGCAAAAAAAAAAAAAGCGTATACATAATAAGTGGTCTTTATTACTCATTTATATTTTTAGGAGCATGCAAGGTTTTTCACAGAGGGGTAATACAATACATGTAGCTAAACATGTCGTTAGCATTTTACACCTTGGTTTATTTATTTGTTCTTCATCCCCCAAGAGATGGGTTTTATTGCTGATTACACTGTACAGAATAAAAAAGGAAGTAAACGCCTTACTTTTAAGAGCCTAACAGAGCATGAATCCTCCCAGTTGCTTTTCAATTTCTGCCATTGACGTTGAATCTGGAATTAGATATCACCTCAGCTGACTCAAAAAGGCTCTAAAACAGGGCTGCTTCTACAACTTTGGCTGTAAAGAATGCCCCAGGAATGCCCAGGAAGAAAAATATATTGGAGAAAGTATATATAAATCTGAACTTCAGTAGAACTTGACCAATTCTTAAGAACACTGGGGAAATCCATTACCAATTGTCACAACTTTACCCAACTGACTTCCTAGAAACACCTGTAGTAAAAGAGATTGTGCTCATGTTTTCTCCCAAATTTCAAAGAAGATACAATTACGAGAAGCTAGATTCTCAGAGGGCACTCCAGGAATTTTAGATTGACTCAATGACATGTCACATATCAAGTAGCTTCTGGTTTCTCAGAGATTGTGTGTTTCTGATTTATTGTAGGTTGACAACCTTTGATTCTTCATGCTTAATTTGAATCTTATTTTAACAATTTGATAGTTTTCTGCTAGATTTTAATTGGTAGCCATGGGAAGAATGAGTTGAACATGCTGTCATTTGGAGATGTATCTTTACACTAGTAAAGTACTAGCTAGTAGAACAATAGCTCTATTCTTGTGGACAATGAAATATAGCCCAGTTGACATCTATATAATAGTGTATGTTTGGATTAAAGAGTTGGCCCAGAGGGATTTGAATCTTTTTTTTCAGCAGGGATGAATGCTATGGCAGCCAAGACTAAAGGTGCTTTCAGGGAACAGAACAGAGAGTGACCAGAATCATAGAAAACACAGAGTCAGATGCTAGGACTACTCAGCCTTGTGTGAAATTTATATGCCTCACAAAAAATTGTCATTCTTGGTGATATTTAGACTCCTTTTTGAGTAACTTGGACTATCTGTAGCGCAACCGATTTTGTTTCAAATTTATTGTCTTTTCGAATAAAAAAAATCATAATGAGATGTGACAAAAGTGTCTAGCTGTTTATGGCAAAAACATAGTAGTAAAAAAATTTTTAAATGGTCCAGTTTGAAAAACAATTCTATTTTCAGCAGCTCTAAAATCAGACTACATGGCAAATTCTAGGGGAGAGTACTTGCTTATATAAAATATTCAATTATCTCCCCACTGAGATATTGAACAGTTTCATTACTTATTTCAACAGTTTAATTGCAAAGTATAAATAGATGTTTATTATTTTTACAAGTATGGTTATAACGCATTTGTTACTTCGCCAGTCAGTACAAGTGGCTAGAGAATATTAATTTTTCATTTTTTCTAACCTAGTATTCCTGTTAATGAAAATTAGTGCAAAGTTAGAGAATATTTAATATTATTTCAGGAAATGTTGACATTTCAAGACATCACCTTCATAACTTGAAGAGGAAGCTGTCTTTGCTGTTGCTGTTAAGGATTTTTTATCTTTGCTTCTCAGGCTTAGGAAATTACTGATGCTTCCCTTTAACTCATTAAAATTCTCACTTGTTGAAATATTTTAAAAAATTAAAGTACCTGCTTTTAAGTCATCATCATTGCGGTTTTGAAAGTTCTTTTTCTACATGGTGTGGAAATATCAGAGACTCAGGCTTAGGAAATTACTGATGCTTCCCTTTAACTCATTAAAATTCTCACTTGTTGAAATTTTTTAAAAAATTAAAGTACCTGCTTTTAAGTCATCATCATTGCGGTTTTGAAAGTTCTTTTTCTACATGGTGTGGAAATATCAGAGAAAAAAAAACAGGATTAGTTTGATCAAAACTGGCATAATTCTGAAAAAGAAATTAAGAGATTTATATGCTGTTCCTTCCCTGCAGTTGTGGCATTTTGCTAATTTCACTAATAACTTAATTGTAATAGTAAGTTAGTTAAGTAATAGGTCAAGAAGTAATAAGGAAGTAAGAGTATTTTGTGCTATTTCCTGAAGGTACCCATTTAGCCAAGGTCTTTCCTGTGGTTCTACCTGAATTATATTTAGAAAAAACCAAGCTATTTAAATAAAGTTTTGAAGTGAAAATTATGTCTTTTTAATTAGCACCATAAAATTCACAGAGCATAGATTTTGCTGTTGGAAGATCCAAGATTGGGTCCGAGTTCCATTACTTCCCAGCTCTCTGATCTTTGGCAAATTATTTAACTGTGCAGACTCCTTTCCTGCATGCATAGCATTAACATGGATAATAACCATAGGTGCTGTGCTCCGCGTCACTGGGGAGCTCCTGAGAGCAGGGAGAATGCTGTACAAGTGCAGGCAGCACACTGTGGGTGGAAGCCCCTGTGTGTCATTTGTCCTTTAAAGTTAAGTTCATATGAAAAATGTCATTTAAAATTTGCAAAGGAAAAACTCAAGATTTCTAATCTACACTTTCCAGCAGGAGATCCTCAGCTCTCTTCTTTAACTTATAGAATGAGATGCGGAGCCTTTTCTGCTTTTTCACACTGAGTTATCATAACATCTCCTACTCCAGATTCATTCTTATTGTCCAATTGTTTCAAGTAGGTAGAAATATTGTCCTCAGCTCTCTTCTTTAACTTATAGAATGAGATGCGGAGCCTTTTCTGCTTTTTCACACTGGGTTATCATAACATCTCCTACTCCAGATTCATTCTTATTGTCCAATTGTTTCAAGTAGGTAGAAATATTGTTTTTTTTTTCCCTCTGGGTCTATAACTATGTTTTTCAATTCTTTTGTGACCTGCTCCCATTTGGGTTCATCACTTAAACACTCCTTAATAAATAACTGTGTGCCTAGAACTTTTACTGTTCAAAGATCTGCTGTGGTCTCGTTTCAATCCTCTTCTACTTGCTGTCTTCTATTCCAGCTTTGCACATATGAGGGTACTTCAAAAAGTTCATGGAAAATGGAATGAAAAGATAATGTGAATCTTCCCATGAACTTTTTGAGGACCCTGTACTGTGGGTTCCACCAGGAAAGCCTTTCCCTTGTCAGAAACTTTAGTTCTTCCTTTAGGAGTAGGAGCACGTGTCTCTCTGCTCCTACTGGCCTTTCCACACCTTTATTGGGGTTGCTTTTTGACTGGTCTACAGTTATTGATTTACATTTCACTCTGCTCCTCAGACTACATGGATCTACGTTTGAAAGGCAAGGTCCAAGATTTGTTCATATCTGTATTTCTAGCACATAACAGAGAAGTCATAAATGTCTGTTAAATGGCCACTGACTACATCTTACATTAGAAAGTAATTGGTAGTTTCTCTCAAAAATGGCAAGAGGATGAGATTTGGATTTTCATATTCTTTGTTTCCTGTAGGATATGATCACCATGGTGCCTGAATTACTGATTCTTCTTGGGACCACAGCGATAGTGCAAGCAGACTTACTTCCTGATAAAAAGTGTAAGAACCTTTGATTCAATTCAATAATTTTTAAAAAATAAGTACATTATAAAAATGATAGCATTATTTTCTTCTAAATAAACCTTCACTTAGGAAATTATATGTGGATTTTTATAAAAGAGTATTTATCCTTATCATAATACAGACTCTTTAAACATGCTATGTTTGAAGAAAGCAATGTTGGCTGAAATGCAAAGTTTATGTGGGAACTCAAATTCCAAGTGAGGGTGTGCGGGCACTGCAGGATAAAGCCGGTGCTGGTGACCACCTTTGGAATGGCCTCCTATGCAAGGGGACAGTTAGAAAGGCTCGTGGCCAAAAAATATGAAACTTCCACCATGTTTTGTTCTTCCACGTGTTGATCTGTGGGTTTAGTATGATGACAGAGAAAGGAAAACTGTTACATGGTCCTGACCTAGCACTGTCTAACAGAGAGCTCTGTGATGGCGACAGTGTTTCATCTCTGTACTGTCCAGTGCGTTAGCCATTAGCCATATGTGTCTATTGAGCACCTGGAATATGAATACTAAGGTAAGGAACATCTGATTTTATTTAAATTAATTTAAATTTAAATAGCCACAAGTAGTCAGTGCAGTATAGACAGAGCTGTAGAAATCCTCATGTGGCAAGTATGGATGCAAAGTCATGGAAGGCTTTTAAAAGTCAGTGGAAAAATCCTGTCGATCTACTAAGTGGGTAAAAGAAGGTTTCATAACTGCATATACAATATTGTTCTGGTTTTAGTAAAAAAAATTAAAAGTTGCATAAATATATACCCAGAAAAAATGTAGTGAATAATCACCCATTAAAGCCATTCTCAGCGGTAGGATTATGGGAAATCTTTATTTTCTCTTTATTCATCTGTGCTTTCCATACTTCTGTAATGAACAGGTATTGATTTTGTAATTAAATGAAGGCTTTTGTTTCGAAAGCAGAGTCAGAGTGGTTCATGAAGAAAAAAACACTTTCTGTAAATGCCTATTTAAGTAATTTTTGACTGTGGTTCATAATAAGAAATAAACATGTTATACATCCTGAACCAGTACACATACAAATACATAAGTACCTTTATGTAGTGGAAACAAGAGATTCAAGAAACAGCTCTTATTTTTATTAGTGTTCGATGTACCCTGGTATTTTCTATTCTATTTTTCCTCCATATCATTAAAAAAAGGTTGCTGGTCACAAACCAGTAAATTGTTATTACAGCCCCTAAATGAATAATAACCCTCAGTCTGAAAACTACAGCTATAATGAATAATGATGTAGTAAAATGTTCGTATTTCAATAAAAACATGCAGATGTTACGGGTAAACACCTGCACAAGGTAAAAAAGATAATGAGTTCAAAACGGTTTTAGGGAAACTTCTTTGAAAATTATTTTGGTATTATATATTCTAATAGCCATAATAAAATAGTATGTTACATAATGAAATATTTTAAAAAAATTTTTAAAGTGCTGCCCATGTACAAATGAACATCGTATTGGTTCTTTTTTCTTTTAATCAACAGTTGTACTCCTCCCACCTGCCAATTTCACCATTAAAGTTACTGGTTTAGCTCAAGTTCTTTTACGCTGGGAACCAAATCCTGATCAAGAGCAAAGGGGTGTTACTTTAGAATATCAGGTGAAAATAAATGCCCCACAAGAAGATGACGTAAGTGTTTAATGGGAACTCTTATTGGGAGTAAATACTCGTTTCGACTGCATTTCTTTTACCAAGCAAAATTTTAAGTTAAAGGAAGAAAAACTGCTATGTGTCTGTTGAAATGGCTGTGAACTTGTGCCATGCATATTGCTCACAGCTTCACAGGATATTTCAACTTTAGGATAATTGTTTTCCTTAAGAAAGAACATTTAGTAAATTTTTAGGTATAACAGATTAGACACTGGTTTTCTGTTTCCACTAAGATGGCCAGAAGAACAAAAAGAGTAGCCCAGTAAAGTGGGAATAGGACAGGGCATAGGGTCAGAGCAACCAAGTTCAAGTCCTGGTTCATTCACTTCTTGCTTCTGTGACCTTGGACCAGTCATTTAACTTCCCGGAGGCTCAGGTTTACTGCAGGGATATGTTGATGCACTTGATAGGTACCAGATTCAAGTCCTGGTTCATTCACTTCTTGCTTCTGTGACCTTGGACCAGTCATTTAACTTCCCGCAGGCTCAGGTTTACTGCAGGGATATGTTGACGCACTTGATAGGTACCAGGAGATCAATAAAATCAAATGAAGGGAGAAGTGATTGGTATTAACTATTTTTCAGTCAGTATGGCATTCTAGACAAGTTTCTGTCTGAGGAGAAACTTCTGAGAAGGAGACTGGAACTAGAAATGGTGGCCAAAAGGAACTCAAGCCTTAATAGTAATATTTTATTTGTTTTTATAAGAGGAATGTGTTCATGCATCATTGAAGAATTACCATGTTATTATTACAATGTTTTGTTTTTAATTTTTTTCTAGCAAAACTATTTCAGTGTATTTTATTTGGTTATCATTTAAAGAGGGGAAGAAAACGTATATTTGATTCAAATAGTTGTCTTAAGGCTATTGACCTTCCACCTGTCATGACTTGTGGATTTCATTTGCAGTATGAAACCAGGAGCACTGCAAGCAAATGCGTAACCATCCTGCACAAAGGCTTTTCAGCCAGCGTGCGGACCATCCTATGGAGCAACCGCTCGCTCCTGGCCAGCAGCTGGGTTTCTGCTGCACTTGAAGCCCCAGCAGGTAAAGCAGGCCTCTGAAAGTCCAGTTTTATGTTTTGGACTTTGCAAATATGGGAAAGTAGAAAAACTACCAACAACTTGCTTTTCTGTAGTCAGTTGCCAGTTCCCGCCAAGGGCTCGTCCTCCTCATCAGCATCCTCACCAAGACTGCTGTCACTTCTCACGATCATAACCCATCCAGTGCCACCTGGCACAGCCCTGCAAAACAGCCACTGTCACTATGTTAGCCTCCAGGGGAAAGCTGCTATTTCTGATACTTACCAGCGATCCTTTTGATCAAACACTCAAAAAATGGAATCAAGGAAAGGAAAAAAGGAGAAGCAGACCTCCAGCTCCTGGGATATGTGCACGCATCCAGTCACAGTTGTCTTTCATCAGTAATTTCCAAAGTATTCTCTTGATA